GAGAGGTTTTTTCCGTATTTTTCCCGTGGTTGGATGGGGGCCCCCCCGCCCCCCCAAGGCAAAAATGCCCTCCTCCCTTTAAAAAAAAAATCCCTTTTTTGGGGGGGGACTCAGGAGCCCCCCGGGGATGGAACGCCGCCCCTCCAAAACAAGCCCCCCCAAAAAAACCCCCCCCCCCCCCCCCCCCCGGCCTGCATTTCGGCGAGAGAGCAGGTGCTGCTGGAGCTTAAGGAGTACGCCCAGGAGGTGGACGTGGAGTTCGTGCGAAAGGCCGTGAGGGCGATCGGACGGTGCGCCATCAAGCTCGAGCGCGCGGCGGAGCGGTGCATCAACGTGCTGCTCGAGCTGATCCAGACCAAGGTCAACTACGTCCTGCAGGAGGCCGTCATCGTAATCAAGGTGAGGCCTGGCCTGACCTATGGATGTGCCTCCAGTGTCCTTGCTTGTCTGTTGTAGGGGCATCAAATTGAGACTGTACGCGTTTGTCCTTGTTTGTATGTTGTTGGGGGGGCATCAAGGGGACTTATATTGTTTGGATGTGGGAGGGTCAGTTGACCTACCGTTGCCCTTTTTTGTCTCCTATTGTCCTAGCATCAAATTGAACCTAGATGCCTTCTTGCTGTTGGTAGTGTTGCTGTCCGACCAGCGCGTGCCACATGCTCCACCCCCTGTTGTATTTTTGTATTTTTTCGGTTAGGGTTTAGATCTCGAATATAGCATCCAGGGGATTTGTGAGCTGAAGCCCCCCCCCCCCCTTCCACTTGCTTGTTGTTCCATCGCTGCCTGAGCAGGACATCTTCCGTAAGTACCCCAACAGGTACGAGAGCATCATCTCTGCCCTCTGCGAGAACCTGGATACCCTGGACGAGCCCGAGGCAAAGGTAAACGTTACGCCCCCCCCCTCCCCCCACTCGGTGTTTGCCATCGGGATTGGGTTTTCGTCGCTTGGCAACGACGTTGTAAAACAAGCCAATTCACTTCGTGAACTCGGCAACCAGGTTACCGTTTTTTTTTTTTACCTCGTTTTTTTTTGGCGGTAACCATAATGGTGGTCGAGTAGATCATGTTGTGCGGGGTCGAGAAACCTCACTCCGCGCAACGGGGGATGATCGCACCACGTTGTGTTAAAATGGTCAAGCTTCCTCGAGGCAGTTACACAGTGCTTACAACTGTCTCTGGAAGTGAAAGCACCAGAAAATAAATTAAGTCATACGTAGCTGTCATCCGTACGCAAGGAAGTAAGCACAAGATGCCGAACACCCTTAGCAGGATGCAGCTCACCCTTCATGCGACTCGCCAAATACCTCACGGCGCTTCGCGCTTGGTGATGTGAGAGCCTGGTCCGGTGAGAACCCGGCGTGCTCCGTCCCGGCTTTGTAGGGATGCGAGGTCAATGGTCAAACGACTACGGCATGCACGACTATGAGTACACCCCCCCCCCCCCCCCCGGT